CATGCTTTCTGTTTTTTTTTTTTATATTCCCTTTGCCTTATTTTCTTATTAACCTATCTTTTAAGTCATGAGCACACTCAACACTTACTAATCTCCTTTAAACCCATCCATTAAAATTTCAGTTTGTCATTAAGTTTTTCATTTCTGGAATTTTCACTTTACATTCTGTATAGTTTCCAGATATATTATGCAAAACATTCAACTTTGTCTTCAATTATTTAAAACTTATTTATTTGGAATCTATTTCCACTAAATTTTTTGTTTTGTCTCCATGTAGTCTTATTTTTTTCTGTTGAGGACCACACATTATAGTAAAAAAAAAAGTTATGAAAATAATTTAAGACTAGGTTTAGATACTTTCCTTCCTCCAGGAAATATTTTCACTTTCTTCTGTCAGCTAGTCCTGGATCATCTCCTGCAATTCCAGGGCCTGAGGTGAAGCTAGATTTCAGTCCACACGAAGTTAGGCTGTTTCTAGTGTACTTTTACTTCATGGAATCCAGTTCCCTCACTCACTTAGGAGGGGTCAAAATAACTTCCTACATTCTCAGCCACATCTTGAGGCCTTTCTGGTGGGATTAGTCCATTACAAGATGAGGCACTAGAAATACTGCTTTCCCTCCATCTTCATGCTTTGGCACTTTATTTTGTAGCTTGTACTAATACAGTAGAGGTGATATCCTTTCTCAATGCAAGATAATATCTTCACCTGTGCTTTAGATACAATTCTATTATGCTTCAAACTTGCATAATCTCTAGTTGGGATTTCAATTTTTCCTTCTTTTTTTCTTTTGCACTGAGCACCTAGCATATTTAAGTTATTTTCTTTGTGTGTGTTCATAAACATTTTTTTCTAATAATATTTTCTTAGTCCCAAGACTATCTTTGTAGTTTTTCCATGTGAGAAAAAAAATAAATACTTTTTTATTTAAAAAATAAATATTTTTTTTAAAAAAATACTTTCTTAGTCCCATGGCTCTTAAATTTGCCTCAATTCTCTCAACGGCACACACTCAAGTATACTGAGAATAATTTTATTACCCAGGAGCCATTTCTGTGTCAACTACTCTTCTGAAGCTTCTCTGGGCTCATCAATTAGTTCTGAAACCATTATGATTACTATTTTTGAACTTGCATTGCTTTTTATATTAAAAGTGTTTTTATTATGAGTATTTCAAGCATACATAAAGACTTGAAAAAAATAAACACTATTTACCACATATTATGCATACTTAATAAATCTTAACTTTTATCATATTTACTTCATTTTTCAAAAATAGCACATTATAGATTTGAAGTCTTTTTTATACCATCTTCCCACTCTCTTTCTTCCTATTTACAAATAACTACTATCTTTTTTAAAAAGTTTTATTTATTTCTATATAAAATTGCTGGGGTGCAAGCCAGAGGTGCGTGGGTGGGCTGTGTGAGATTTACCACAGTGAGGAGTAGAGCAGGCAGATCTACTGAAATACACTGCTGAGGGGAGTAGTGAGTGAGACAGGAGAAGTCTGCTGTGTCATGTGGGTCACCCCCCTGGCTGGGATCAAACTCATGCTGCAGTGGCTGAGGTTGTGTCATAGTGCTGGGACTTAACCTCTTTCACTGACAGGGAGGTCCTAGCTACTAAAGTTAGAATGTTGTCTGTTGTGGTTGTCAGAATGACTCCCTCCAATGTGTTTATCACTTAACCTTTGGAACCTGTTTCTTTATTTCCTTATATGGAAAAAGAGACTCTGTAGATATCATTAAAGTTGCAGACATTAAAATTAGAAGATTTTCTTGGATATTGTAGACCCAATACAGTATATAAATCCTTAAAAGCAAAGTGAGAGGAATGTGGTGAAAATAGAAATTCTAAGCATGAGAAAACTTGACCAGTTTTCACTTGAGAAAAGACACATAGGAAGCATCAGATGCAGTGAGGCCTCAAGCAATGACTAGGCCCTAGCTGACAGCCAGCAAAATAACAAGGACTCCAAAATACACTTTCAAGAAACTGAATTCAGCCATCAATCTGAGCTTGGAAGTGGATTTGTCCCCAGAACTTTCAAAAAGGTATATAGTCCTGCAAATACCTTGACTCCCAATTCTGAGATTGTAAGCAAAGGATTCTGCAGAACACACCGACTGGGACTTTTGACCTATACAAACTTGAGAGAACAAATAGGTATCATTTAGGGCTTTAAGGTGCTAATTTTGTGGTAGTTAATACAGCAGCATGCTTTTATATTTTTACTATGTATGTCTCTATGGTTTAAAACTTCACTATATGAAACATTCTGAAATTAGGTTTCTCCAGTAAAGATTTTCCAGAAATTTATTCCAGTATGTTCTGTTGTATGAATGTATCACACTTCATGCATTTTCCAGAAGATTGAAACACATAATGAAATTGAATATATTTTGTTTATCTATAGATTCTATAGGATTTTCTATGTAGACTGTCACATAACCTTCAAATAATAACTATCTCCTTTTCTTATTCTAGATCTTACTATACTATCTTTTATTTCCCTTTCTTACTGCATCAAATGGGACTACTAAAATTACATTGTAGAAGTTGAAGTGGTAATTTTTGTCTTATTTGATTGAAGCATAATTTTTTAAAAGATTTATTTATTTATTCATATAGAACTGGGGTACAGGCCAGAGATGTGGAGGGTGAGAGGATTCACCAGGGACAGAGTGGAGAGCAGAACAGGCAGATCGACAAAGTACATTGCTGAGGGGAGCAGCGGGTGGGTCAGGAGAGGTCTGCCATATCATGTGGATCTCTGGGACAGGCGGGAATCGAACTCATGCAGAAGTGGCTTAGCTTCTTAATGCTGTGCTTTAACCTGCTGCGCCACCAGGGAGGGCCCGGAAGCATAATTTTTTTTACTTGAAATATATATATACACACACATATATGTGTGTGTATATATATATATAAACAAGGATGTTTATATTATATATATATACATATATATATATTAAAATCCTTGTTTATTTTTTCACAATATAGGATTTCTCCCTTAAGGTGAGGTGACTGTTGTTTTTCCACCACTGAAGTGCCCACAGACTTCCACATTCCACCCTACTCTCCTCCTCCTCTCTCTGCTTTACTTTTCCCTTTCCTAACAGGTCCCCTCTGAGTGTCTCAGGTCTGTTTACAAAGGTCAATGTTAACAGTTTTCTTGCTTGGCCTGATTCTTTGTTTTCTCTAGATTCCAGTATTTATCTTTCTCTTTTTGGACTCAGTTCACTTAGAATAATCCCTTCCAATTCCACACATGTTGCTGCAAATGGCATGAGTTTCTTTTCATGATCCCTAACAGCATTCTATTGTGTATATATAACACATCTTCTTGATCTTCTCATCTGTTCTGGGACACTTACGTTGTTTCCATATCTTGACTATTGTAAATAGTGCTGCTATAAATATAGGAGTGCAGGTTTCCTTAAAAATTAGTTTTTGGGGCCCTCCCTGGTGGCGCAGCCAGTTAAAGCACAGCACTAAGAAGCTAAAGCCACTTCCGCATGAGTTCAATTCCCCGCCTGCTCCGGAGGTGACCAAATGGCCCGGCAGACCTCTCCTGACCCCCGATGCTCCCCTCAGCAGTGTACTTCCTCGATCTGCCTGTTCTGCTCCCCGCTCTGTCTCTGGTGAATCTTCTCACCGCCCTTCCACTTGTGGCCTGTACCCCACAAGTGGGGTATTATTTATGCATAAATAAATAAAATCTTTTAAAAAGTTAGTTTTTGTGTGTTGATTCCCAAAAGTGGAATTGCTGGGTTATATGGCACTTCTAGTGGAATTTGAGGAATCTCCACATTTCTTTCCATAGGGGCCAGAAGAATGTACATTCCCACAGCAGTGTAATAGCATTCCTTATTCTCCACACCCTCACCAGCACTTGTTTTTGTTTTTGATTTGGTATGAACCTGAAGACAAATTCCTAAAATGTATCCTGTAAGGAAACACTGTATATTCATATATAGTGTTATATTATATATATTCAGAATATTTTCTATTCCCTAATAGAACTATTTCCAGTTTGCTAAAACTTTATAATGTCTAAGTGCTAAACTTGATTGAATACCTTTCTGCATCTCTTGAGATGACATGATATTTTTCACTTAAATTTTCAATTAGTGGATTTAAAAAAAAATTCTGAAGCTTGATTTAGAAAATTCTTACATTAATGGCATAAATCAAATCACTTTAAAATCAGAGGAGTGGAGGCCCTCCCTGGTGGCACAAGTGGGTTAAAGCACTGCACTGAGAAGCTAAAGCCACTTCCGCATGAGTTGGATTCCCGCCTGCCCCAGAGGTGACCACATGGCTCAACAGAGCTCTCCTGACCCGCCCGCTGCTCCCCTCAGCAGTGTACTTCATTGATCTGCCTGTTCTGCTCCCCATTCTGTCTCTCTGTCTCTGGTGAAGCCTCTCACTGCCCCTGACCCTCTGGCCTATACCCTAGTTCTGTATGCATAAATAAATAAATCTTAAAAAAAAAAAGAGGAGTGGAGAACAAAGCCTTTCCAATGGCAATTATATACATATATAAATATATTTATACATATAAATATATATAGTTGTTAGATGCATATACAAACATATATGCATCCTAGGATTCGAATAATTTCCCCAAAGTTGCAGCTAGAAATTTATTTATTTATTTTTATTGGGGGAGGGGTGGCATTTGTCTTGAAAATTTATTGACAGGGTTTCCCACCAGGAGGCCCTCCACTTACTTGCAGAAAGTCTGTGGCAACAAGAGACTAACTGCTACCAAGCCATGATCTTCTAAGGGACCAAGTACATTGCACTGCCTCAGCCACAGGAGCCACACCCCAGCTGTGCACTGCCACCATCACACACCTGCACTCTGCACACTCTGCACACCCTGGGGTGCAGAGCTGGAACACCTGTTGCCCAGGCTGTGGATAATCCCGACCTGGCGGTCAATGGTTATACCAAATTGGCTTGGGGAAATGAGCCTGGGGCCTTCCCCCTATCTCAGGTTGCAGAACTGAAGAAAAGTGTGCTCTGAAGAGTTCCCGGGAGGTGCAGGCCCTGCACACCTCCTGCTTAGGTGGTCTTCACTCTATTGCCCGATGTCATGGACGCTGAACCCCTGAACACTTGTGGATTCTTCCAGGTAAAACCTATCAGAAGAGATACTTGAGATCTTGTCATCAAGCAATGGGCATGAACATTCTGCCCACAAAGAGATGCTGCAAAAACCGAATCCAACACAAGTGGTTTGTTTAACCAAAATTGAAATTCCTCTTGAGGAGGATGCCCCTGTCACCTCTTGTTTTGCCTGTCGGTTCCTGGATTTCTTTCAGCAAAGTGCCTTTTCTGGTAAGATGTGGATGGGTTCAGGGAGAGCAGATGATCACATGTGCGAAGGTGGGGGTGTCAGTGCATGTCTGCTCCCAGGCCGGCAGCATCTGCAGGCTGAACTAGGCAGCTCTGCTCTTGCCATGAGGGCTCCCACAGCACCGTGTGCTCCATGTGGGAAAACAACAGATCTCTGTCCTTCTCAAAAGAGCTCCAAGGGAACTTTCCAGTAATTTAGAAAAGTTAGCAGAGAAATTCTTTTCGAAGTTTCCAGGCTGTGGTTTGAAGGACAGGCCACATGAAGTTTCTGAAGTTCCATAGGAAAACTGGAAAGTCATCTTTTACACCTGGTACAGATTGGGGAATTTGTAGCCAAGGACCTTGTTCTGATCATGGTGTTATAACTGCCCACTAGACTCTTAATGCAGTGACTAGAAGGTCATTCATTAGGAAGGGTAGCGTCACCTTCACATGTAGCGATCAAAACATTCACTTGTCTGAATATATGTCCTACTAAAAAAAAAAAAAGATGAAAAATTAACAAATTCAGTAAAATAGCACACAAAATTCAGCTTCATTTCTATATCAAAAGAATGAAATACCTGAAAGTAAAATTTTCTTTTGTATATTTTTATTATTATAATAATAAATTGTGCCCTTTTCCATGTCAGTTGTAATCCTCATGGATTTCCCATCACCAGTTCACCCATGTGCCATCACCATAGTCCCGTGTACTCCCTCCCTGACATTTTTGAACCCATTCTCCACGTCATTCCCGTAAAATGTCTCTGGTTGTTCATTATTATTTTTCCCCTCTAGTCCTTTATGCACCTGCTATGAGTGAAACCATCTGATATTTTTCTTTCTGGCCTCCAGCTCCACTGTAAGTAAAATTAATGAAGAAGGTAAAAAGAACTATATGTTGATAACTATAAAACTCTGCCAAAGGAAATGTAAGAAAATATAAAGAAATAGAAAAATATCTTGTGTTCATGGACTGGAAGAATAAACATCATTAAAATGGCTATATTGGGCCCTCCCTGGTGGCGCAGCGGGTTAAAGCACTGCACTGAGAAGCTAAAGCCACTTCAGCATGAGTTCGATCCCAGCCTGCCCTGGAGGTGACCACATGGGGTGGCAGACCTCTCCTGACCCGCCCGCTGCTCCCCTCAGCAGTGTACTTCGTCGATCTGCCTGTTCTGCTCCCCGCTCTGTACCTGGTGAATCCTCTCACCCTCCGCACCTCTGCCTGTACCCCAGTTCTGTATGCATAAATAAATAAATCTTTTTAAAAAATGGCTATATTGCCTGAAGCAATGTACAGATTCAATGCAATATCTATCAAAATATCAATGACTTTCTTTTTCAAGGAAATTGAATAATTGTAAAGTTTATGTGGAACCACAAAAAGACCAAATAACTAAAAAAATCCTGAAAGCAAAGTAAAGTAAAGTCATAAAGTAAGATACTTTATGACTTCAAAAACTATATAACACATAAACAGTAATCTAAAGAACATGGTACTAGAACATAAATAGAAATCAGGCCAATGAAACAGATTAGAGAGACCAGAGATAAACCGACACAAATATGGAGAATTAACCTTTAACAAAGGATCTACAGCCATACAATTGAGAAAAGAACTCTATTTAAAAAATATTGTTGAGAACATTTAATAAACACTTGCAAAAATCTGAACTAACTCCATACTCAAAAATTAATTCAGTATGGATTGAATATCTGGATATAAGAACTGAAACCATAAAATACTTGAAAAAAATGGTAGGTAATACAGACAGGACATCTACTTGCAAAGATGTATTTAGAGATTCAACTCAGAGGCAAGGAAAACAAAAATAAACAAGTGAAACTACATCAAAGAAAAATTTTTGAATCTCAAAAGAAACCACCACAAAGACAAAAAGTCATCCCACAGAAAGAGAAAAAATATTTGCACATCACACATCTTACAAGTGGCTAATCTCTAACATTTTACAAAGTTCATATCCAATTTCACAACAAAAAATAAATTCCAAATAATAAATTGGGCAAAGCACCCAAGTAGACACTTTTCTAAAGAAGACATTGAAGATAGCCTACAGACATGAAAAACTGTTCAACAGTCCTTATTATAAGGAAAACGCAACAACATTAAAAAAACACACTGAACTATCACTTCAGCCCTCAGGGAATAGTTCATATAGGAAAGAATGAAATCAAAAATGCCAGTGAGTATGTGATGAAAAAGCATCTCTCATCCATCATTGGCAGGAATCCAAGTTGGTGCAACCTTTGAAAATGGTATGAGACTTTGTAAGGAAAATAAATTGACATTCTGTGTGATCCTGTAATACCTCTTTTAGGAATTTATCCTAAAAATGCAAAAACTTTACTATAAAAAAATATGTACTCCTTCATATGGTAGCACTGTCCACAATTGTCATGCCATGGAACCAACCTAAGGTCCCATCAACAAACAACTGAGTAAAGAAATTGTAGGATATATACTTATGTGAATATTATATAGTGATAAAAATAAATTAACCTTTAATTTATTAAAGGCAGTAGCCTAGCTTCATTCTTTTGCATGAGGCAGTCCAGTTTTCCCAGCCTCATTTATTTGATAAGCTGTCTTTGTTCTGTTGCATATTCTTTGCTCCTCTGAAAAAGATTAGTTGTTCATAAGCCTGTGGGTTAATTTCTAGTCTTTCTCATAGATTCCATGTGTCTGTGTGTCTGTTTTTGTTCCAGCACCATGTCATTTTAATTGTTGTGGCTTTGTAGTAAAGTTTGAAGTCTGGAACTGTGGTACCTTCATTCCACTTCATTTTAGTAAGGAGAACTTTGGCTATTCAAGGTTTCTTGTGGCTTCATGTGAATTTGTTCTATTTCTTTGAAGGATGTCACTGAAATTTTATAGTAAAAATCAACTCAGGCCCTCCCTGGTGGCACAACCGGTAAGGAATCAGCCCTGCAAGCTAGCCTTCAGTTTGACTTCGATTCCCCTGCCCCAGGGGTGATCCACATGGTGTGGCGTGGCAGACCTCTCCTGACCTGCCCACTGCTCCCCTCAGCAGTGTACTTGTTATATCTGCCTGTTATACTCCCCACTCTGTCTCTGGTGGAGGCCTCTCCCCGACACTGCACCTCTGGCTTGTATCCCAGTTCTATATGTATAAATAAATAAAACCTTAAATAAAAAACAACTCAAAGTGGATTAAATAATTAGACATAAGACCCAAAACCATAAAATATATAGAAGAAACTATAGGCAAAACACTACATATACACATATCAGTCATATTTTTTAAGATAAATCACCTATAGGAAAGAAATGAAGGAAAAGATAAGCATCTGGGCTTACATCAAATTAAAGAGCTAATGTCTGTTTTACAAATAGACACCCCCACTGATTGGGTGAAAATTTTTGTGCATAAATACACAAAAATTATAATACACAAAAAAGGGACTAATTACAAAAATCTACGGAGAAAAATCTACATACTAATGATAAAATGAAATGAAAATGAAATAAAATGAAATGAAAAATCTACATACTGGGACTGATCACAAAATCTACAGAGAGAAACAAAGTAAACAACCCAGTCAAGAAAATGGGCAGAAGAGCTAAGAAGATACTTTTCCAAAGAAAAAATGCAAATGACCAACAGGCATGAAATAATGTTCAACATTATTAATAAGGAAATACAAATCAAACCCACAATGAAATACCACCTACACCAGTGAAGATGGCACATATTAAAAAAACTAGCAGCAACAAATGCTGGTGAGGATGTGGAGAGAAAGAAACTTTCTATAGTGCTGGTGAAAATGCAAACTGTTCCCACCACTATAGAAAGCTGTGTAGAGTTCCTCAAATTACTAAAAATGGAATCTCCATATGATCCAGCAATTCTAATACTAGGAATCAACACAGGGACACAAAAATGTTAATTTAAAAAGACACCTGCTCCCTTGTGTTTATTGCAGCACGACTTAGGTAAGCGATGGAAGTTCCCAAAAGTAGATTACTGGATCAACAAGATGTGGTATATTTACACAATGGAATATCACTCAGCATTCAAAAGGGATAAACTCATGCCCTTTGCAGCAATATGGATGGGGCTGGAAGGGCTTATGTTCAGTGAAATAAGCCAAAAAGAAGAAAAATATCAAATGGTCTCACTTATAGAAGGAATATAGAGTAACCAGATATGGAGTTGAGGATTCAGGGGAGTAAAAATCAAAATGATCAGGCAACTATAGACCAGAGACATTTTTTAAGGGAGGAGGAGGGAGAAGGCTCAGGATAGGAGTTGGAAAAGCACAAGGGACAATTGTCATGGTGCATGAGTGAACTGGTGGTGGGAATTTTACTGAGAAATCATACATTGTACAAAAATGGATAATGTAATAAATATATTTTTTAAATGCCAGAACAAAATGAAACAAAACAAAAAAGTGAAATGCTGGCTTTGGGACAAGATCAATGGACTTTGAGGTGATTATGTTAACAAATACAAGTTAGAAAGTTAAAAATAAATATAGAATGGTTTCACTCATTTGTAGAATAGATGTAACATAAATACAAGGGGAAAATACAACAGGAATAAACTTTGGACTTAAAAGAAAATTATTACTAGAGGTAATAAGGTGGAGAAAGAAAGGAGGCTGGGGAAGTAGAAAAAGGGAGTATTTTTGCACGTTTGCTTTGGTGGAGGGTTAATGAGATATGTGCACATACAAAGCCACAAAAATGTAAGCCAAAAAGTTTTTAATTTAAAAATAGTCAGATAGCCAGGAGCGCTCGACCGGGCCTGCGGCTGCCCAGGAGCTCGGAGCGAGGAGCGCCTGGCGGCCAGGCGTCTTGCCTCCAAGGAAAACTATGATTAAGAAGTAGTGTAAGGGACTTCCGGAAGATGGCGGCAGAGCAAAGACGCCGAGATCACCGCGTCCAAGCCTGCATAGGAATTGAGGACTGAAAACGGACTATAGACTCACTTACTACAACTTTCAACCCAAACGAAAACACCCTGGACTCACTAGAAGGTGAGGTATCTAGTTATCACTAGATAACTGAGAGGGAATCAGCGATTGGGGAGTTCCCAGAAGGGAACTCCTGGGAAAACCCGGGCCCCTGGAAGTTCCAAGGGCTGCAGGAGCCACTTTGCCCCACGCTAAACCCTGGAGGTAAAGCTGGACGGCTCAGCTCAGTGAGTGGAGCCCAGGCTGCAGAAAGACTGCAAATCTGATCCTCAATACTTGGGTGAGAGAAAAACCGCTGAAACTTCAGACTCGATCCGGAGCACCTGAGCACGCGCAAAGCCGCTGAGCAGCTCCACCAGCTCCGGAACCGGCAAGATAGCGGCAAAATAAAGACGCCGAGGCGACTACATCCAAACTCGCACGGGATTATACAAAAACGGACTATAGACTTTCATGCTACCAGTTTCAACCCAAATGAGAACGCCCTGGACTAACTAGAAGGAAAATAACCGAGGGAGAACAGGCGATTGGGGAGTTCCCATAAGGGAAGCTGCACAGGCAGGAAATGATCCGGGAACACCAGCGGATTCCAACTTTCTTGGCTCCTTTAAAAATCTAAGCACCTGTAAGCCAGGAAGCTCTGCAGAGGGAAAACTGCCTGAGGCTCAGCTACGGCTGCTCCACAGCTTTTTGTCCCAGCCCTGCTACAACCCTGGAAATAAACTGAGACAATTCAGCTAGGGAGGGGAAACCAAATAGTGGGAAAAGGCTGCAGCTCAGAACCAGAGACCTGAGGATACTCAGCAGACATGTTGCTGACCTTTTCCCCAGCAGCCCCGACAAAGACCTGGATATAAACTGAGACAACACAGCTAGGTGAGTGGATCCCAAGCTG